AGGATAGCAATTTGATCTTCAAGTTGCTTGATACGGTTCCTGTGAGTTCGTTCGCGATTCTCGATGACCTTTTCAATCTGTAAAAAAACATTTTCAGGTGGAAGTAAGTGAAGCAGTAGGGGTTTACCTGGCCCTTCTCTTGGCGCATTCGCTGCAGTTGTCTTTCCTGCTCTTCCCGTTGCTTATTAGTCAGCTCCAGGATACGATTACCGTTCTCCATTTCAAGTTGTGCGATCTAAATAGGACCCCCTCGGATTTCGTTCACATTAAGCTGGGAGCACTAGATACTGTACCTGTTGTTGCAGTTGAGCGCAGTTTTTGTAAAGTTCTTTGTTTTCACGTTCCATAGCGTTGAGAGATTTCTCAATAGCCTCACGCTGCAATGCTGTCTCACGAATCGCCGCCTCCGTTCTTCTCTTTTCGGTTTCGAGCTGAAAAAGGTTGATTTTCACGTCGCGCTCATTACCTTTCACTGGTCTCACCATCTCAATCTTCTTCTGAAGCATGAATTTATCTTTCTTCCAGTTGTCCAGGAGTTGTGAATTGGCACGTCTGTCGTTCTCAAGTTGTACGATGTGGCGTTTGAGCTCCTCCAGTTCCTTAACCGAAGTGGTTTTACCAATAGGATATGACTAGAATGAAAGGGAATGAACTGAGCTGGGACAAACTGACCTTAGTTACGGCTCTCTTGTCATTCTTGGCAGTGTCTAATTGCTGTCGCAGTTCATTTTCAGTAGTGCGTTGTTGGCTGAGATTCTGAAAAGCGCATGTTGGCTGTGAAAATCAGATTGAAAAATCGATTTGTGAAATACCTTCTCCATGGTCAGGATTCTGTCTTCCAAGCGATTCTTTTCTGAGTTGGAATCTTGAAGTTGACGTTGAAGCTCAGATGCTCGGTTATTCACATCATGTACACGTTGTTTGTAATCACGAAGTTCAGAACGTAGATTAAGAAGTTCAGATTCAAGTTGAGTCTTGCGCGTATTGGTCGTGCTCAGATCGTTCTGAGCGTTCAACAGCTGATCCTTCAACATCTGTAGTTCACTACCAGATTTACTCTGTAAGTCCGTATGCTTGCGCAATTCAATTTCATAAGATTCGGCTTTTGCCAGATCCCTCTTCAGCTTTTCGGCATCGTCTCGCATATCCTGGACCTTGGTTTCGCTGAGACGAAGTGCGCCGTCAAGCTCTTTGACCTTCTCCATGAGACTCTGAAATTGGCTGGATTGTTACAGAAAATGAAAATAGCGCTTTTTTTCAAGAAGTCCCCTAGAAAGTTAGTCTAGCTAACCTGTCTCTCGCTTTCAAATGAGGAAATTTGCAGTTGCAATTTCTGAGTGTGACTGTCTTGTTCTCTCATCTTGCTCTCCAGTTGGAATCGACTTGCATCCCAACTCTCTTCTCTGTCTCGCAGTGCACGAATGTCGGCGTGAGCATTTTCCAGATCAGTACGCAGATTCTTGAGTTGTTCCTGAAAGGATGCGATTCGTTTCTCGGAGCTGGAGGCAGTGGGCACGATCGCTGGGGGCGGGCGGTTGTGGCCAGCGTCATTGGTGGGAGGGCTGAGTGAAGTGTGACCAACAGCTCCTCACAGCTCTTCAACCAATGATGCCCGCCCGCCTCCAGCAATCGTGCCTGCAGCCCTGAATACAGGATAAAGTCTTCTGGGGACTGATTTTGTACTTACATTGAGGTGTCTGAGTTGCGCCTCTTTGCCACGAGCTTGCAACTCGGCAGCCACCATTTTCGACTTCATCTGTCGACGCTCCTCATCGCGCTGTTTGAGCGCTTCTTCCTGGGAGCGAAGAAGCTGCTTTGCAGACGCCAATCGGGCTTCCAAAGCTCGCTTATCTGAATAAGGACTCCTTCTTCTACAGTTATGGTGGTTTTAGCTGCAGACGCTGGGGTGCGTCACTAGGGCGGAGTGTGGCGCGGCGCCAGCTCGTTTTCCACCAATTGCTGTCGCTTGACGGCTTCAACAGTTGGTGGCGAACGCGCTGGCATTATGCCACGCCCAACCCTCATGACACGCCCCAGCATCTGTAGCAAAAACGGCTGCCATTTGGCTTCTCGTATATTATCGGTTCTAAGGGTCTTCAATGGTTGCGAAAAAAAGCCGTTTGCCGAAATGCACGCCTATTGTAGAGGTAACCGGTTCGCCTTGAGTTAGTCATAGCGTAAACTCAAAATGGGAAGTTACTGGTATTGACACAAGTTTCTACAGTGCTCGTACCTTCTTCGATGTCGTTCAGATTATCCTCAATTGTCTTATATCTGGTCTCATGCTTATTGATTGTCGTGTGCGATTCACTCGTCTTTTTGCGCAGACGATTCAATGCGTCTCGAAGCTCATTCTAGAATATAGTAACTTTTAGAGAAGAGTAGTAATGGGTTCAGTACATCGAATAACTTACTCGTTCCAACTCTAGTTTATCGATTCTTCCAACGAGCTGTTGAAGTGTGTCTTCGAGCTGAGTAACGTTGACGGTGTCGTTGATGTTCACGGTAGTCGTGCCATTCAGCGTTGTGGCTACTCGACCGCCTGCTGAAAATGATTGAAGATTTACGTCAGCTTTCATGCAAATTACTGCAGTAGAGGCTACTGTAGTAACGAACCGCCTGTGTGTGTGCCACTGTAGTCGATGCCGACTGGGAACGGTACGGACCGTGGATACTGGACTTCATCCAGAGGTGCTCCAGAACCTCGTGGAATTTCAACATCTCGTCCTCCATCGATGTGAGCATCACCTCCATCGACAATATTTGTATATCGACCGATGTTGATCACACGGTTCGCAGAATTCTGGAAATTTTATGATTGGAGTGGAAATTAATTCAGGGTTTATCAGAAACGCCTCTAGCACCAACGCTGCGTTCATACTTCGCGATTCAGTCCCACAATTCAGAACTGGACGACTAGCCCATTTGCGCTCCATCGCTAATCGTTGGACCACTGCAACTGCCAAAATGATTAAATTGAGGATTCAGCTTCCCTTGACCCTTTGACTATTGCAGAAGCCCAATGTTTCGCGCTGTCCGGACGCAATCCCGCGACTGAACAGTTGGAGTCGCGGAGTATGAACAAGGCCCAACAAGTGCGCCATACCTGGAATCGACGCATCGCGTCTGCAAGAGCGTCTCGTTCAGCGTCCGCATTGATAAAGTCTTGTTGTAGAGTGATCAGACGCTGTTCAGTTCCTTCTAATCGTGACTGCAGGTCGCTGATCTCATATTTGCGACTCTCTGAACAACAATTTATCTAGTAGCCCTTCAGAGTACGGTCCTCTATAAAGCCCCACTGACATACCGAGCTCTTGGAGAGCGTTCAGTCGTCCATCTTCAGAAGCTCTATGTGCATTTGCGAGGTCATCAAGCGTTGATTGATATTCGTCAGTCTTTCGCTGCATTTGCTCAGCTCCGAATTTAAGCTCTTGTTGAAGTTTAGTGAGTTCGTTCCGTAGAGCAGTACGTTCTGTATCGGAAGTGATCAGCTGAAATTACGAGAGTTACTCTGCAAAGCTGACAATATGTTAAGAGAAATACTGTTTCTAACAAGTGGGCGGAGTCCCTTGGACAAGCGCGCATTTCTTATTGATGGCACTTCCTCTCAAGTGAGCGCCAGCGCACCAATAAGGAAAGCGTCATTGTCGAAAAGGATCCGCCCATTAAATCAGGGCAGAATTTGCCATTAAATTTATAACAGATAAGAAACCCATATGAGGGTAAAGTGTGCGACTAACCTTGTCGGAAGTGTTTTGTAGCTCCTGACGCAGTTTCTGTAGTTTAGAATCGAACTGCTGTGAAAGTTGCTGAAGGTGATCGGCCTGCTTTGCCTTGTCGCGGTAAGCGTTTTGAAGGCGTTCACGCTGAAGAAGTAGTTAGTTTAATGAAAGATGTGCAGGCGCGGAACCCTTTCAACCAACATACCTCAGCTTTGACGTGATTAAGACTGTTCTTTAGTTCTTTGAGTGTGTCCTCAGCAACTTTTAGACGATTCTTAAGGCGGGCAAGTTCCGATTCCATGTTAGCATTAGCACTTTTTAGGACATCGTTTTCACGTTGAACAGTGTCTAGTTCACTTCTCCATTTACTGGCATCAATTTGAAGTTGAGCGTATTGATCCTCGATTGAACGAAGGCTGTAAAACATATGAAGTACTGAAGTATTTTCTAATAATTAGTCACTAAAGGAGTAAAAGTTACCGATTAGTGGTGCTTTCGAGATCGGACTCCTTTTGGGTTAAAA